ATCTTTTGGGCTGACTCGCCGAGTTGGGCCACCCAACTCGCCGAGTCCTACTCTCACTTTTCACTCTTACTCGCTGCTACTCGTCGAGTCTGGCATCGACTCGACGAGTACCCTCTTGATCCAAGAACTCAGACAATCTTCATCCGACTCGCCGAGTCGTATGAACAGACTCGACGAGTTGTTCTTGATCCCAAGAAGATTGCCTTGGACTCGCCGAGTTGATGAACAACTCGCCGAGTCCCTCCATCACTGAGTTTACCCTCAACTCGCTGAGTCCACTCCCTAACTCACCTCGTCCACTCGACACTGATAAAACTGAAGAACTCGGGACTCGCGACCCAACTCGTCGAGTCGTTCTTCCGACTCGCCGAGTTGCCGCCATGCAACTGATTTTTACTTGATTTTGTTTGAATCCAATGCATACAATTGATAGATCTGAGTCCAATAAGCTGATTTACCACGTAAAGTTTCCAACTTTACGTGTACAACCTCATGAATAAGGGAAATAAGGCTAAAAGATGCATAAAATGGGTAGATCTATGGTTATCATGCAATATAACTCCAAAAAGACAGTAGATCTGGGCTCTACAACACCCCAACATTCAGATCCATAGCTATTTCGACTTAATAAGACGTTCATGCAATAAGGCTTGGAACAAGCATCAACTAGCTCTTAGGAGAGCTCTAATGGAAGTTTAAAGCATATAACAAGATGGAACTCCGAAAATACCTCAATTAACTTGATTTGGCCTTGGATCTTTGCACTACAACACTTCTCCTTGCTTCTTCCTTCTTCTCCTTCTTCACACCTTCACAAAATGGCACCAAAACACATATAAGCTCTTCAAGGGAGGATTAGGGTTCTATCACTGCGTTCTCAGGGTGAGGGAGGCGAGAATGGGGGCTATAAGGTGGTTTAAATAGTGGGCAACCCGGGGAATTTAGGGTTTCACCCAGACAGATGGACTCGCCGAGTCAGGGATATGGACTCGCCGAGTCCCCGGCTCACGCGTGCCCTCAGGCGCGACCCTACTCGGCGAGTCAGGCTAGAACTCGTCGAGTCCCTCTTGAAAAACTCACTATAATTACCAATAAATCAACATACCGGGAACGGGTCGTTACAACAGAAAGCCAAACATTAGTCTACTAACCAAAACTAGCAAATTAACTAAAAGTCAAGTGGGTCAAAAAGTCAACGGTTAACCACCACGCCTTGGCCAACCACTAACTGCACCGTGGCAACGAAATAATAAAATGGGTACCATTGTATCATATATATATATATATATATATATATATATATATATATATATTGATTTGGATCATCGACAAGACAAGTAGGGACTGCAGGTTTGACATCATTTTCTTCATCTATGACATCATCTCTTGGTATAACACTTATATATGACAAAAATGATCAACCGGCTTCTTTAATGGCTTCTTTAAGGGTATAATCTTATCACCCATTTCCTAATAAACTGACAAGTCATCAAACATGATTGACTCCACAAGGACCACAACATAATTAGAGCATTGACTAGAAGTACCTCCATCTTTTGCATTTTCATCTTACATCCGATCATGTAATAATTTATTATGTTGATCAATGTATACACTAGTTCTTCGCTCAATGACATATCATAGTAAAAAAACCTAACATAATTATAATCATTTCTCAGACTTCTTAACTCATCTCTCAGTAATAAATGTCCATAACAATAGTAAACATCATTACACTTCTCCCTTGTTAGTTATTCAAGAAAATAAATGAAGTACTTGTTACCCATACTATTGAAATATATCTCCTTAACAAAAGTTTTAAGAGGGTTGAAGTACATGATAAACTTCAGTGCAAATGCTCCTTTGGTGAATCAGTTAAAAATCTTGATTTTTATGCGTTAAACGAACCTTCCATTGTCGTTTCTGTTGTAGGAAGATTTGAGTGTGTTTGAGAAAGAAAAAAACCCTAATTTTGAAATGTAATTTTATAGATATTAGGGGTTAATTTTTGTAATATGCCTCTTTTAGTGAATACCAACAATTAAAAAAGCTTGATTTTTATGTGTTGGATGAATTGTAGATTTTGTTGTATGAAGATTTGAGTGTGTTTGAGAAAGAAACGAACCCTAATTTTGAAATGTAATTTATAGAATTTACGAGTCAGTTTTTGTAATATGCCCTATAACATTCCTATAATTTTTTATTTTCTAAGTATAACCGAGTGAACCTCTTAATATAATGTTAACAATGTTATTTTTTTTGAACAAATCTGATAGATTATTGGTAAAGTTTGCACAAAAAATAATTCACAGGTAAAATTTGTACAAACCTAAAGTTCCTTGCCCTCCTAAGTTATATCTCAAATGTGTTTTAGTTATTACTTTTTTTAATGGTTGAATTTTACTAAAAACTAACAAGAAACCAAAGTAACATTCAATTTTTTTTACTTCTATGCATCAATCAATAAAAAAAATAAGAATTTATACTATTAGACAAATACTATTATCTATGTTTTTTTTTGAAGGAAACACAACATGCTCCTATTCTACCATAATAAATGAAAATGATTTTTCCAAATGTCATTTTCTCATTATATTTGACACATGTCATTTTCTAAGATTTTTTGATTTTTTTTTCCACATGTCATTTTCTCATGTTTTTCATTGTTTTAAAATTTAAAATTTATTTTTTTAGTAAGAGTTTATATATGGTAGATACATTAATTCTATTAATCTTGAGAATAAATGTTCTAGCCTTTCTTTCCTTGATAAATGTTTATATATGGTAACTACTTAATACACATATATTTAGGGAAATGTTTTTTATTTCAATATAAATTTATATTTACCTATATACACATATATATTTTTTTATATTTTCCTAAATATACTTAATATAAATTTATACTAAGTATTTTATCTATCTATTTTATTCGTTATATGACAATTAAATAGTATATTTATTTTATATTTTATACATGTAATACATATAGAAACAATGAATAAAATATGAAATTTACATTTTACTAAACTCTAAGTCATGTAAAAATGTATAATGGTTAACAATATTTTTTTATAGCTACAGATTTAAATTTATAATGTCTCCATTTTAATAATTGAATTTTTAAAATCTGATAACATTTGTGCATCATTTAAAGATAAAAACATAATATGGATTCAAACGATTCTAAAAGACAAACGCAAACATATAAAATTATATTTAGATAAAAGAAATTCAATGTTATGTCAACTATGCCAATATATCAACAGTGTTTTTTTTTTTTTTTTTTTTTTTTTTTTTTTTTTTTTTTTAATATACATTCAACTACCTAATTATTATTATTTTGTTCTATTTATTTCGAAAATTTACTTTAAAAAAAATATTTAATTTTTACACCTAAATTTTCTACATTATTTTTTAAAGTATGTTAATATTTTTTATTAGTATTATATTGAATTACTTATTTTATTCATGATCATATCATTTTTATTTATATAAAAATATTACTTTTAAAAATACATAAAGTTTATAAATATATATTAAATTCTTATTTTTAATAAACCCATATACCATACAAGTCTTACACATAGTTCCTATAAATTATAATTCCAAATCAACCACACCATTCAATCTTTCACCTATTATTTGATCGATTTTATTGAAAAAAATAGGTTCCTCACACATATTGCGGCTCCCCACTATTGCGACGTTTACACCCTGTTCCCGAGTTCAATTTAAGGAGAGAAAAGAAAGGAAATGGGTGAAAGTGAGAGGAAAGTAAGAGAAATTGGTGTTCCCGAGTTTCATTAAAGGAGGGAAGTGGAAGGAAATAGAGGGATCACTTTCCCTCCTAACTTTCCTTCCGATTTGGAAGGATTTGGAGAGAAAGACCAAAATGTTTAACTTTCCTTCCATTTCTCTCCAACTCAGGAACACAAAAGACAAATTTCTTTTCCTTTCTCTTCTCTTCTTTTCTCTCCTTACTTTCTTTTCTTTTCTCTTCTCTTCTTTTCTTTGCTACAACTCAGGAACGGGGTGTTAGGGGAGAAAGCTCGGTTTTGATGAAGGTACTAAGCAACATTTTTCTGAACCACGTCGTCAAACACCCTTCTATTGCTTGATCCACTTTCTCGAACAAGACCAAATATACGGGGATAAGTTAACATTCCAATTAGCTTTTTAAGTAATATTGTGAATATTAATATATCAAATTATTATAGATATCACAAGAAGTGGAAAAATATGTTCAAAGATTTTGGAGCTCCTATTATCATCTCAATCGTATGTTTTGTCTAAAAGTAGGTATACCATATATATCTCTTAGCCCATGTGTTGCATAAATGAAAACATTTAAAGATGCCTACCCTTGTCCCTACTCCGTATGCATTAATGACCACTTGGTGATAAATAGATTTTACACCTACCCATGTGTTGCCATTTAGGTCATGAAATGAAGTTTTTGTGTAAGGTCTGTTTCCATAATACTATTGTTGTTGCAAACATAATGATGTCTAGCGTACCACATAAGTTACAACAAAACATAAATTTTTTTAAGTATGCATATTTGCTTCCACACAGATTAGTCTTATAGTTTCATTTCAATTATTAATAAAAGTGTAATATAATGTTGTCCACTAACCAATTTACCACCTTATGATCTGATAGATCCATCTTTATTTATTGTTCTACTCAATGTGTCATGCTAACATGTTATGTTAAAAAATTAGTTATTTTATAATTTAAATAGATTTGTAAAAGTTCTGATATCCAAGCAACTAAAATATTTTATATATTAAACGAAAATTTGATATTACATGGATTAAAATAAATCCCAAAACTATGACAACTTGAATTCCCATATAAAAACAAGTCAATCCAAAAACAAAAATTAAAATGCAAAACAACGTGCTATTGCTTTGAAACTGTTTCTTATTACGTTTTATATATTACGTCTCTAATGCATTCCTTACTTGACTAATCTCATTTATTTACACTTGACTCTAGAAGTCATACAAGTACTTTTTGAAAAGTGACATGTGTTCGGAGTCCAAGCACACCGCAAGCTTCAAGGCCCGATCATCATTCGGGTTCGGTATGATATAAATTGTGCCCTCGTAAAGTATGTTTGCGGGTCCCATGAAAATGGGTTTACCCCATCCGAAGTCAGATTCATACAACGGTAAGCGAGTCCAACTGTTTACATTCAGATTTGGACTCGCAAAGTATGTCGGCCCTCGAATGAGGGCCGACAGATCTGATTGTATCTCCAAGTAGTCAATGGCTGATCTCATATACTGATCGTCCATTCTAGCCAGCTTACTATGGATTCTTCTTGCAGAGTCGGCCAACGATTCTGATTTAAACTCGCCTGAATTAGCCATCGGGGTGGCTGTAAACACGACGTTTCCAAGGTAACCAGGAGGGAGTGGAGGGTTCAATCTCGATCGTCCGTCTGTGGCCACGTACAATTTGGTTGGTTGATCATGTGAGAGTCCACGAGCTTTACATGCACATCGCCATAGGTGAGCGGCTAGGATTACAAATGTGCTATGGTAGACATTCCCATCACCCTTTCCTTTTGATTTAAGATCGTTGATTTGATCAAGTGTGAGTCGTAGGATCGTGGTGGAAGCAGGTGACTTTTGGTTTTCTGGTGGGGTGATTAATGATGGTGGTGGGTGGTACTCTACATGGTCAAACGTGGGAGTGGGTGGGTCCCGGGCACGGAGGAGGGACCGATCATTGAACGGTGGGATTGCAACGGGTAGCCCTCGAGCTATATCAGACCATGTGTTGATGAAATGGAGGGAGGAGAATCCATCGGATAAAGTATGGTGCACTCCACACCCTAGAGAAACCCCGCCACACTTGAAACGTGTGACCTATGACAAAAAAAAAAAAAAAAAAATTAACTTATAAAATAGGCTTTGAACACAATAATTGTCTTATGAATCATGTGAAAATGCATCGTGTTTAAGATAACATGTAAATACGCGCATTAGCCAATGTAGGTGATGAAATTCCAACTCCAAATAAAAACTTAAATTTGCATTAATCACGTCTACATTATAAACTAGTTTTAATATTGAGAAAAATATTACATTTTATGAACCTATAACTATTACCTATAACATTTTTAAATGTTTATAAACTAGTTTTAATATTGAGAAAATTCATCAAATGATCAAAATAAAGAGAGTGCTTGTAGTAAATGACTATGAAAAACAACTTTATTAAATGATCACGACTTCCGCAAAGAGGGGTTTTGTAGAAGTCCTTACGCTCTAAGAAATAGGAAAATCGCTCTGAGGAATCGAACACGTGGAGAAAAAGACAAAAAAAAAATGTTTTTACACAGTTCTGCAAAGAGGGGCTCTACGGAAATTAGTAAACCTCTACGAAATACATGTACATTATTATTTTTTTTTTTCTACATTTCCTCACAGATGTACATGTGTTCCGTAGATGTGTACTCATTTCTGCAAAGCCACTCACTACGGAACAGTGTAAAAGTTTTTTTTTTATTTTTTTTTATTTTTTTGTGTCTTTTGTCTTTCTCCCTACATGTCAAATTTCTTGGGGCAATTTTCTTATTCCTCATAGCGTAAGAACCTTACGCAGAGCGCTTCTCGTCAGAAGTTGTGGTCATTTTAAAGAAAAGATGTTTTTATACACCCTCTCCTTTTGATCATATGCTACAAACACTCATTTCCTTTTATTCATTTGATGAATTTTCTCTTTAATTTTCAATACTTATTCATAATATAATCTTTATATCAATTCGTAAGATAAAAACTCAATTTTCTTTTATTTTTTTTCAGTTTAAAGAAAAGATATTTAATATTGATTTTTTAGAAATAAAAGGAAATTCTATAAAGTTCAGTCAATACATATTCAATATTATTTTTAAAGGAAAACCCTAAAAAAATCTCTAACATATTATCGTTCAATCATAAAAAAAAAAAAGAACATTATATTATATAATTTTTTTCATTAAAACCATTATGTTTTAATATTGTCTGAATTATATTATATATTTGAACAATATGTTTTTCCAAGTATTTCCTTATTTTTATTTTAAAAATAATAATTAATGACGGAGAATCTATTGATTTTATCTTGTATTTTTTATAACAAAAAGTTAAAAAAAAATAAAAAAGTTAATATAATAAGAAAAAAAATGAAATGATTTTTGTGGAGGAGGAGGAGGTTGTCCATCCCACGTACGCATGGACCAGAAATCACCGTCATAGAAATAAACGAATTAATAATTGTATATTTATAATTTCTGTGGACCCCGCCAAGAAAACGTTAAATTTTTTTAAAAACAAATATTTTTCATAGAGTTTATTAATTAATAAGTTTTATAGTTAGATTTTTCTATTGAATTAATTTATTTATTTATCTTATTACATATTTTATATAATTGTTATTTTGGGATTAAAAAAAATACATGGAAAAAATGTTTTATAACTTTTTGGGATGATGATTGATGATAAGAATACAGTGATAACACGACTTTCCAGAAAATGTTGCTGACTAAGAAATTGTCACGTGAGCTCGTCAATTTTATTTTACATAAAGACCCTTCTATTTTATGAAATGGAAATTACGCCCTCAAGCTTTTGGATATTTCAAATTTTCAATCCAACAGCAAAATGTTATATACTATTATAATAAGATGTAAATTCATAAATTAATGGGACCCTATTTACCATGACTAAATCAAAGCTATCCATCAATTTGTTTGTTTTTTTTTTTTTTTTATTTAAGATTAGAAACAATGGGTTTAACATAAAAAAAGTCCTAACTTCTTCTGAATTTGTCTTTTTTACTTTTACTTTACATTTTTATTTTTCCAAGTGTGCAGTGTATTTGCTAATAACTTTATGTAGTTTGAAACAATGCATGAATAAATTACATCACGGTGGTTTTTCAAACTTAAAATATGGGAATTTTGTCATTATTTATATAAAATACTGTTTTTGTATATAATTAAATCATTTATATCGTTAAATATTTTTGTCATGGTATAATTCAAAATTAAACTGCTTATAAGAAAGAAAATGAAACTGGATGAAATTATTTGCAAATAAGAAAGACTTATTACCTGAGTGATGACTAGAGGATAAGAAGAGATGTCGCCGGAGTAATCCACAGTCGGCGCCAACCTCCGTAGCTCCGGCGACGGAGTAATCTCACCAAAATCATCAATCTTACAATCCGCTTCAGCTTCCACAAACAAAACACCCTCGCCGTTGCAGTTAATTTCAACTCTGCCATCGCCATCTGTACCCAGCCGTCCGGCCATCGGAAAAAAGGAACAGAGAACGTCGGAGAGAGCCTGTTTCAGAACCACAGAATCAAAGAAATCCGAAGACCCATTTGGCGTATAAAAGTATATGGTCAATAAATGGATCCGACCCACAATCAAATCAAGATTCGAGTTCCATAGTCGCTGCTTCGGCGTCGGTTTCGATGGTTTCACCATCACCGATTCCTTCACAGTTAGGTTCATCTTCTCCGAATCAGTTCCAATAGTCATCGGAATATGAAGATTCTCCGGCAACCCTTTTCGGGAATTAAGTAATCAAAGATGGGTTTGGTATTGATTTTACGAAAAGAGTATAAGAATTGAAGTTTCGAGACGTGTTTTACAGGTTTAGTGTGTGTGTGTATCTGAGACTTGACGACGTGGACAACTCATGGCAAATAATGGTGTACAAAGCTTTGTATTTATAGAAGGTATTGAGAAGAGAAAAACAAAAAAGTTTGGCCTTTTAAAGTAGAGTAAGTTGTGAAAATAATTAACAAAAAGTATGAAATTTGTTTTTATTAATTGATATATAGTTATGTTAAATTTTAATTTACGTGAGCTTTAATGGTTTTTTTAGCTATAGATTCGAGCTTAGTCAATTATAAAATATCAAAATTCAAATATACATGCTTGACAAGAAAAAAGGACTTGATTTTTGTAGGTGTGAAACAAATTTGATTTGGATAAAACTAAAGAACGTAATGAAAACCAAAA